GGCAGGGCACTGGCCACTTCTATCATTCACTGATATCTACAGCTGACTGGATGCCCTTCACTTCTGCACGCGGACATCATGGCTGAGAGAAGAGCCCTTCTCCTGTGGACGATTGGTTTTCCCTACCTTTGTCAGAGAGGCATTTGCTTTCTTTTGTAGGCACTGAAATGCCTCCTCAACCCAAGATCTCTAACACCTTTCCTTTGATTTGCTATTTGTTAATAAAATAAATAATTGTTTTCCAATAAAGAAAAAGCTATGATTCACAGTGTTTTAAAGTGTTTTAAAGTATCTATACGTATTTAATGATCTTCTCTGATATCTTTCTGGCAACAATTTCCCATTATATAGACATAAATACTCTACATGTGCTAGGATTGTGAAGCATAACAGATTGTACAGTGTGATTTTCTATAATACTGAAATCAAATGCAGAGCTTTTAAGAATTGAGCTGTCTGCAGCCTGAATAGAGATCTTTGGGAGGATGCTCTTATTTTCCTTTGTCCTTGTAACAAAAGTCACTGATTAAGAATGTGTTCAATTGTTATGAGATAAATTATGGGATTCTTCACACTTATTAATGTCATCCCTTTGACTTTTTGATTACTCACAAATTTTCTTTTTCTGTGTTCCAAAATATAATTTAATTTTATGTATTTTGTTTTAGTCTCTGTGAGGTAGAATTTCAGCTTAGTGAAACTCAGTGAATATAGCTATGGATTTATAAAGGAGTATGCGGGTTTTTATTTTTAAAATATAAAATCTTATCATGAGTTAGTTTCTTCAAAGTAGCATCTCCCTTTAATTTATGATCATTATGATTTGGTTGTTATTCAGTCAAGAGGTTTCCAAATGCTCATTTTTAAACAAAAGCTTGAACCAAAAGCCTTCAACAGAGTAAACCTCATGTGCACTGGTTTAGTTTTTCCTTCTCTTCTGAACTGTGCTCATAGGATTTAAAACAGGCAGTCTACTCATGTGTGGTCAATCTGTTCCTTAAGATGTACAATACTATGATTAGGTTGTTTATTTCAATGATGAACTAACTGAGGTGGCTTTATTTTGTGGATTATTATCAGAGTAGAGTAATAATACTGTATTATAGTGACAGAAGACAGGCACCATGACTTTCTGTAGTGTGTACTACATATCCAGAAGTGTATGTTGCTTGCCATCAGTATAGCTGAGAAAATATTTTCACTCTTCCACTTTATGGGTTGTTTTTTTTTGGACTCTGCTATTAATTGATGAGAGTATCTTTCTAGATTGAACGAACTAAAATTGCCTATAAATGTGATTGTTAATTAAAATATAAGAACTGTATACTTAAACTATACAGTCTTCTACATCATGTAGTTCAGAAGAAAACTTGGTAAAATAGGTTTTTCTGAATTCAACTCATTTTCAACAGTGTTTACTTTTCTACTCAGTTAAATTCCTTGTTTTCATCTTTGAACAGACTTGAAAAATCAGTTTAACTCTTAGGCTCTCACTGCTGCACTAGCCAATTTCCATTTCAAATCAGTGAACAATGCAACCTATAGATGACTGAACTGTTTTGTGTCTTCTGTTAATTCAGATGTGGTATTTGCCTGCATTTCTTGACATGCACTTTCAGTTGTCTCTTTGTCTCGTTAACTTCCTCTCAGACATGTAAAATATCTTATTTGAAAGTCATCAGTTTCACCAGCAGGTATCATAGAGTCATAGAATACCTTGGGTTGGAAGGGACCCAAAGGATCATCGGATTCTAATCCCCCTGCCACAGGCAGGGTTGCCAACCACTAGATGAAGTACTAGATCAGATTGCCCAGGGCCCCATCCAACCTGGCCTTGTGTTTTTCTTAAAACATCTGAATTTTGGAGGTGTAATTCTCAGCAGTTATTCAGCATGTGGGTGAATCTTCCCTTCTGCACAGTTTTAAGCTTGCAGCGTGCTTCTTTGTTCTCACTTGCACACGCTGGGGCTGGTTTGCTTTCTGCAGACAGAGCAGTGACTTTGTGACAAAATATCTGAGCTTCAATCTGTGTGCCCTATGACGTGGACCATGCAAGTGGTAGTAAATTAGTTCTTTAAGACTAAAGACTATGAAGTTCACGATAAGCTGGAGGCTGTGCAGGTAGCTTGTATGCAGAAATCTTTTTCTTGAACAGTGATTAAAAATATTACGCTCCAGATCTGATCAGTGCAAAAACTAGTCCTGCTGGTTCTGGACTTGATATGTTTTCTCAATAGATTTGGCTTCAATCTTCAGAGAGGCATGTTTACACAAACAATTTTAAATGCTTCTTTTATCAGAAAGAAATTCTTATTCTTTTTGATAAAGAATGCCTATCTTCTAAACTAGATTGTTTACTGCTGAAAGAGGAGGCTGTTTTCTTTCACTGCTTTTGAAAACTTCCTAAAAGTATTTCTTTAAAGGAGATATTTTCTCTTTGATTCAAACGCTCCTGCTTTCTTCACTTAACAAAACTATCACTGCAATACTATAGTTTTTAATTCTCTTTCCTGTATATCCTTAAGTCTTATTTCATCACAACTTCCTATGTGACTGATTCCTGTATTAGGAATGAGGCTCTCCTAAAAATTGCTGAAACAATTTTTTGAAGTTGGTGCACATTTGCTAAATAACCAGCTGCATGACTGAGCACAGAATAACATCTGGAGAGCAGGAATTCAGGTACCAGAACCACACACAGCCTCATCTGACAGTTCCCCAGGGGCTGCAGGTGTGTTTCCTGTAGCTGTCTGAACCAGAGCTGTGAATATTCTGGGGCTGAGACTAGCAGAAGTTCTTGATCCTCTCTGCATCACAGAAAAGCTTATTTCATTCACTCTTTGCACTGTTCAGTTGCACAGAGATGACAAACGTTGCATTTACATGCAGATGTAAAGCAAGAAAATGACAATTGAAGGGAGCCACAGTGTTCCAGTTAAACCATTCGGACCTTTATTGATGTTCCCTTTTGGCATGAAATCAATATTTCCGTCCTTTTCTAAAAATTGCAAAGTTCTGCCTTCCTTGTCCCTTAGCTCCCATGAGTTCTTGATGGTTTTATTTCATTACATTTGTCCTTCTTTCTCCACATCTCTCACATTTTACTTGGAATACAATCTGGCAAAGGACCACTTGTGTCTTCCTGCCAGTTTCTTCTTCGACTTTGTTCCATCAGGGTCAGACAATAAGTGTGATTCTAAAAAGTGCAGGTATTGATGCATTTTCTTCATTTTGAGATTAGATCATCTGGTTTGGCACTTTTTGAAGCATGTTGCCTGACTCTTATGGTAAACTTTGTAAGACAGTTGAGGTTTGTGTTCCAAAGCACCAATTGCATGCACCATACTCTTGTTCAAAGGGAGCTCAGTCATCCAGAACATTGAAAGACTTCAACAGGACATACTGATACTTTAGGTTTTGTTTGTTTGTTTTTAAGTTACTCTTGCTGTTATTTTATACGTGCAAAATGAGCCATTAAAAGATTTAATGGATTTTACTGTCATTTTTTCCTCCATAAAAATAAAAAGGAATAGCAGGTGGGATAATTCTTCTCTTTATTTAATACAGAGATAACATGACTTTTTTTCTTTTTCTTCCTACATGGAATCAGGAGTGATTGTGACTATAAAATAGTTTCCAGAGCATTAATGCTCAGTGATATGGAGCTCCTAATTGCTCTCATTTGGCAACGAGAGCTATCAAAGCTGCAGCTTAATTCACATACTTAACAGGCACAGAATTTTCCATTTGGCCACTGAGGTACAGAAATGTGGTGTTTTAGGAAAGACGCCTTTTGCTTCTCAGTAATTCTGTGTGGTTATCATTATTCTTTTAATTCTAAAGGCACACAGATTTAGGGGAATATCACTGTGATGGGCATCAGCACAGTGCTAAATATGGTAGTTTTTCTGTTAGATGCAGCAACAATTTGCACTACTCTATTGCCTACTGCTTAGATCTCATTTCTTCTAACTGCTCACATAATTTCTTTATTCAGGAGGAAAATGAGATTTTTTCATAGTCTGAATTCCTTGTTCACTTATTACTACTCAATTGGTGTGATCAGTGATGGATATCACTGATACAGTACTAGGGGATTCCTTACATTGGTAAATGAAATACGCACCTCCAGTGTTAGAATTGTTGCTGCTTTTTTGCTGTGTTACAATTGCTGTTTTGTGTTTTTTTCAGCTATTTGACCAAATGTGAGATAGGCAGCTGCTTGTGATGTCTGGCAAAGGGGATAATTGGATAGACATCTTTAGACTCTGTGAAACAGGTGTCCTAAATTTTAAGCTATCTTATGGGATAGCTTATGAACGTGGACAGAAGCAGGAGAGAGGATAGCATCAAAGATGAATGTTTGGGCAGGTATTTGTTACTATTTCAAAAACATTTCTCCCCCACATTTTTAGTACATACAGATGACGAACTGTATTATGCTGCATGCATTCTTTTTTTTTACTCTCTTCAACACTGCTTCATCTGAGCATCTGATTACTGTGCATTAAGCTAAGCAGCTATCGGACAGAAGTTTGTTTTGTCCTCCTTTTCCCAAAGATAGAAATGCATAGAAATGTCCGTCTCTGTGGAAAATCCTATTGTGTAAGCAGAGCAAAGCTGTCACTAGGCTTCATCTCACCTCTTGGTCATGCACTGACCTGCATCCAAGCTCTGATAGTAAGGATTGAGTCTTGAATGCCAGTCTGTGTGGAACCAATTTAGATGGAAAAGTTTGGTGTGCTTCTCTCAGTCAGTGTTAGTAAGGAATGGCACTGAGATATTTTGGACCAACTTAAGTTTGGAAACTGGCACCAAATGTTGGGATCAGTTCACCAGCTGGTGACATACATGTTGTATGGGAACTGTTGATCACAGCCTGAACCTCTGATTGAGCAATGAGTCAGCCATGGGAGCACAGGTGAAGGCAATTCACCTTGCTACCAGAAGGGGTGGAGCCTGGCTGCACCTCTCCTAGATCCCATGTAAGGTCTGACTGCCAGCGAGGAAGGATTTCTTCCTGGAGAGTTTACTGTGAGCCTTTAACACTGGTGAGTGTTTCCATTTATTTTGATTATCGTTCCACTGTGATAATCTTACTAAACCTAGCCTCTGTATACCTATTGATTGTACACATGTTCACTTAAATATTTCCTAATTTGGTCTCTGCTTAATTGTGCCATTTGATGTCTGCTCATAATTGGAGATTGAGGTCTCTGTTATAGGCATGTTGACTGCTGTAATTCTAGGTGTGTAAGTGCACATATACATACATAAGGGTGAATTGGATTTTTCTTTTCATCTTTTGTTCTTCTTCTTTTTTTTTTTTTTTTCCCTAAAGAATCTGGCCTACTATAATCCATTGTCAGTAAACAGAAGCAGTAACAATGAGGAAAGCTATGGTTGCCTTGTTTTATGGAAAAAATAAATAAATGTAGAAACCAATGCCTATTACGTAAGGGCTTAATCACACTTCCTAATTCTGTTCAGGCTCCAACTGAAAGGGTGACCTTTATATAGCGTGTATCAGGTGCTACTGATTTTGTTGAAGAAAGGAATTAAATGAGGGTCAGAAAGTTTTGACTTGCAGTTTTTGAGTTGTAACAGAACTTTACTATCAGTTCAAATTTTGAAGTATCAAAAAACACGTCCTCCAAAAATTAGTGGAATAGAATATCAAAATTATTTATTTTCTTTAATGCTCCTGTTCACGTCCTGGCTGATATCATTAGTGCAGCTCTGCAGAGGCCCTTGGTCTGCCAGCAGGTCTCAAAGAGAGGTAAGGGCAGAGAGCTGCTATGGGAATAACACACATTATTTCACACGTCCAAAGGTACTTGTGTTGTTTAGGGTTCCTGAGAAGCTTGGTTTTAACCTGTTGTATTTTAACCTGGCAGCAGCTGAGCACCACACAGTCTTTTGCTCGTGCTAGTGCCTTCCAGTGCAATGAGGGAGAGTAAAAAAAAAAAGGAGGAGAACTTCTAGGCTGAGATAAAAACTACTTACTAAGACAGAAAAGGAAGAGAGAGAAATAACAGTAATGATAATAATTATAAATTATGTATGTACACAAAACAAGTGATGCACAAAGCACTTGCTCATCACCCTCTGACCGATGCCCAGCCAGTTCACAAGCAGTGCCAGCCTCCCCCACCAACTCCCTCAGTTTTACTATTTTGTCACATGATATCATATGGGACAGAATGTCCCTTTGGCCAGTTTAGGTCTGCTGTCCTGGTTCTGTCCCCCTCCCCCCAAGCTCCCTGTGCCCTCTTGGCCCCCTCACTGGCAGGGCAGTATGAGATGCTGAGAAACCAGATCATCTTTGGTTCTGTACAGCCCCACTGAGCATCACCTAAACATTGGCATGTTATCAACGTTGTTTTTCTCCTAAAGCTGAAAGGTAGCATTTATACCAGATGCTATGAAGAAAATCAACTGTGTCCCAGCTGAAACAAAGACAGAGTGAATCAAAGTTAAAAATGTACCTCAAACACTGAAAATGCATCAAGATGCCACTTACAGGAACTGTATTGTCAATATAATTTGCTGTAAGAATTTTGCGTATGAAAATCAAACTTTCACCTGCCATCTGGTGGAAATAAATTGAAAAGCTATAATGTGTACTTCATAGCTAAGGAATACACCTGTTTTCAGCTTGCTGGTAATGTAGAAATTTGCAGTGTTAGCTCTGTATAAAGAACACTGTGGTTGTGCTGTTGTCTTCCTCACTGAGTGTACTAACAGAACTGTATGAGTCCTCTTTGCTTCAGTTTTCATAGAATAAAAGAAGTTGGTATCCTATGATTAGGCTTGACTACAAAACAGTAATTCAAAATGATTGTTGGAATGAGGATTACAGTGGTGAATAAAAAGTTGATCTCAAAATACGTAAGCAGGAGAAAACTATAGCTCATATATATGTGGAGCTATTTATGAGATGAGGGAAATAAAAATTGTTCCTATTTATTTTCTGTGCTGCAGATAGATTTCTGCTTTTACTATGTGCAGAAGGTTTTAGCAAATTGGCTGTTAACAGCAGCAACAGAGGTCCCTTGTCTTCTAACTTATTGCTTCTTCATTTTCATTTGTTTCCTGATGTATCCTTCTCGTTGCCTGATATTCATGTTATATGCACTGTAGTCCTTTCCTAGAAGATATTACAAGATTTCTGTCTTGCAGTTCACTGAAATTTAAGCAGGAAATGTTTTAGATCCTCCTGAGTAGAGCTGTAGATCAGATGGTCAGCCTTGATACTGAAGGGGTTCAAGTGGTCAGCTTTGACAGAGGGTGATTTGATGAGGAAGAAACTTTTTCATGAATGTTTCTTTGCTAGTAACCTCTAGTTTATGTAGTTACAGTCTTTAAATCTGTAGTTGCTTTAGGTACTGAAGTGTGCAATGTGTGGTATGTATCTGTGATGGTAAAACTCCTGTGCTTTCCTCCTGGCTTTGTTCTCTTTGAGGATGCTATTTGCTCCTAAGCTCTGTTGTGTTCCACAGCTGTGAAGCTCTTCATTGTTATACCAAAAAAATGAAGATACAGAAATACTGTGACTTAGCTTTTAGCAAAAGCATTTAAGCATACTTAATAATAATTAATTCAGTGGTACAGCAGAAACTAAGGAAAACCAATTGAACTGAGAAGTTGTGGAGGTAGTTCAGAAGTTTTTTGTTTTTTCTCTTCTTTTTAATCTTTCCTATGGCTTTTGGACAAGATGTTACAGTGAAGTCATGTGGTAATAGGCAAAATAGAAAACTAGGACATTAAACTGCAAGTGTACAAGAGTACTATGAGCAATTAAGAAATCCAGACATCTTTTCTAGCTCAGCTTTAGCTTTTACAATCTGATATAACTATTAATAAATCTTTGCTTGTCATAAATTCTTTATAATTTTTATGTCAACTTACTGTTCCCAAGTGATCTCCGAAATCTTTACTTTTTCAGTTAAGCTCCATTTAAATGACGTACACTAAAAGTGTATTTTGTCAGAAGTAATATTTTAAATAGTAGCAAAACTAATATACAGTATTACTGGGTAAGATTTTTTTTCCATGTCAGTCTCTTTTTGCAGGTAAGCCTTTCAGGTGGGCATCTACAATTCTATAGCACAGGAAGATATTCCAGACTGTCTGTTGAAGCTATCTACAAAGAAAACAACAACAACAAAAAACCACTTTGTAAAGGAGTAGGAATAGAAGGAGCTATTGTTAAGTTTCCTTAATATACTTCATTCCAATATGGCTTGCATCATAGAAGATGAATTAAACGATGAGAATCATAGTGATTGGGCTCAGTAGTTCTTCATTTTTCCTTGAGTACAAAACATACCTGTTTTGCTCAGAAAATAAAGTAAATCAGACCTCTGGTTACAATATAGGAAAACAGAAAAATATATGGAGTAAACCTTCTGGGAGCTGTAGTTCTACAGTAATATTCCATCATATGTCACCTGCAGTACACTACATGAGTTTTAAAAGTTTTAAATTCTCCATATCACCAAATAAATCACTGCAAATCACTGACGGCAGCAGTTCTCTTTTAATCAAGAATGTTACAATAGCAAGTGTAATATTCTTCCATTACAGTTATGCTTTGAAAATTTAGTAGGAAAAAGTTATTAACTTTGCTTTCAGGAGATAAATTGCCTTTAAAACTGGTAACTTTTTACTACTCCCTGCATATAGTTAAGATCTGGTTGCGTGCTTCAATCAGGAAAGAAGTAGCTGCTAGTTTTTAATTGTGATAATCCCACAGCAGGGACAACAGCACTGTGTGTGCCTGAGGTGGGTTCACTTTGGGCACTTATGCTAACAAAAATTCTAGTTAAAGAATCAATTCTACTTTCATGTTGGGCAAGTTAAAACAAGCAATCAAGCAGTGAGATAAGCTTTCACATTTTTACTGAACTGTGTAGCTGTTTTAAGAATAAAATTCCTCCTGCTGCGAACCGAGCAAACACGATCCAAATATTTTTAAGAGATGACAAATATGAATTAATAGTAATTTCTACACCTGTTCCAATGTGCCAGCTACCTCTTTGTACAAAGTAACTACAACAGAAGCATTTAATTAGAGTTTGTTTGTAATTGGGATTAATAAGAGATGTTGAACTTACAGTGCATAAACCGTCCACGTTAACTTGCTGTGTGGAAACGTCTGAAGTTCATTAGTTATTTCATACAAGAACTTCCTTTTAGGTACTAGGAGTGATTACACAGAAACTTAGTGCACCTACAGTGTGTTTTGTACTTCTGTTTCAATTCTTCCTATCAGCATATTTCTACTGAGATCTCCTCTGCAAGACAGAAATGTTCGCTGTCTGCATCACTCTCAATGTTGGTGTAAAGGTTTCATCCTTTAAGATAATGGTGTAGTTCTAGAAGTATCTGGTTATGTGCTTACCCTGTAGTATATTGGAAGCGGTACTCTATACAGATCTTGTACATACTGCATCATGGCAGAGTGTTTCACTGATAAACCATTCCTAAACATTAACAGCTTGATCAACCAGATGCAGACCACCAACACTACCAGTAAGATAACATTACTCTTTTGTGAAGATCAAGACAGAGTTCTAGAATGAAGATCAGAGTAAGGGATATAAAAACCTGTATCTAACTCTCCAATACAAAGCTTACAATGTAGAACAACATAAAAAAAACTAAGGGATATTTTTGAATTCTGTTGCTCAGGGATTTCTGAAACTTAATTCCTTTTTTGTCTAATTGAGACAAAAATATCCCATTCCGTGTAGATAACTATAATTAAACTGTATTAGATGTGGCATAGATCTGATTTTACAATACGTTTTCTTTTAGTAAATGCCATCATCTAGTTTCCTGGTAGTGTTTTGTGCTCAGGACCTAATAAATGCAGATTACTGAGCTTGGCTGAGGGTTCAGCAGTCTGGTAATTGTCCATTCTATGTCTTGGATTTTGTAAATTCTCTGTCTGAAATACCCAAGTATTAGAAGAGAAGAGATAAAGGCAAAATCTTGAAAAGCTGTAAAGAGTAGAGATAAAATTCAATAAAAGTAACTGAACTGCTATAACTCAGATACTCTACTGCTGTGAGAAACATTCTTTATTCCTGAATAACCCTGACATTTTTGTTATGAACATTTCCTCTCTCTTTGGGGAAAGCTGAGCATGTAGCTCTTCCCAGACTACTTGAATGTGGGCAGCACAATTAGTAATGATTGCTAAACCACAAAACCTGTGTCTTGCTTTAGTATCCAGAAGTTAATTGCTTCGGCTGTGCTTACATTAGCAAGTAATGTAGCCTAAGCCAGGCAGAGCTGTTAAGCAAAGCAGCTGGTACTGATGAGCCAGGATCCCCATTACAAGTGGTTCAGGGATTTTCTTTCACATTGGTTTTTGGCTGCCCATGTAGGCTGGAAGGCTGTTAGTGGTGGTAGCTAGTGAGATACTCTTCTGGCATAGTTGCAACTGTTAAGATAATACTCTTGTGTCATTGAGACTGCTTCTTAGGATGAACTGCAGTTTGTTAAGTGGAGGCAACTGGGAGATCTAAAATCAAAACCCATCGTTGATGTCCTAGGTAACGTCATCTGCGTGGCTCTGTAGAGATCCCAGGTTCACCAGCAGGTCTCACAGGTAAGAGAGAGCTGCTGTAGGAACGATGGAAATTGTGTAAAACTCAAGGGTATCAGGGTTGGTTTAAGTTCTCCGGAAAATTTATTTTTTACCTGTTGTAGTTCAACAGTAATTGTGCCTAATAATTGTGGTCTAATTTTCTGTTAGCGAAAACAGGTTCTACTATGTCTCTACCTTCTTGTTTTACTCCAGAAAGGTACTTTCCCTCCTGCCCTTAAGCTCAAAAATGTTCTATTCCCCTCTGTTGTCAAAAACTTCAGTTAATTCGAAGGTATCATAATTTCATTTTTATTCATGAATTTTTATAAATCTAATTATATAAAAAAAACACCTATCAGTACTATCTCACTGTTTGCTGGAAAGAGCCTTTCCAGTGTATTGCTAAGCTTCTTGACGGCTGATCCATCTCTTTTCTTTACTATATGATTTTCTCCCTGTTCCTTGGGGATGTCTTGGGGAAGGTGGCGGAGCGATAGATGCAGAATGTGTTTAAGCTAGTGGTCCTCATGCTTTCTGAAACTCAGCACTGAGGGAAGCAACCTTAGGATGATACTTAACTCACAAGTGAATTCCAAGCTAGAATGCAAACGTTCTCTGCAGTGCTTCTTAGCTCAGGGCTTCAGTTGGATGTTCTCACCCATTTGTTCAACTTCATTATAAACAGTTAAACTGCAGAGATCTGAGCTGGTGGGACCTGGCAATTTGATAGTACTGTTAATGAACTGTAGTTCTTGTGAATATATATTGGAATGTTTGTGTAAGAGAACAAGAGAAAACTTCATTGCTCTGCTGAGTTGCCCACAACATAAAACTAATGATTAAGCAATTGTCTTCATTTTTACTCTTGATCATATCTATCTTCAGATGATCGTTTCCAAAAAAGCAAGTTTCAAAGTGCCAGCTTTCTAAAAGGGAAAGGCAACTTTCTATGTTAATGACCCCTGAATCTTTATGAAACTTCTTCAGAGAAATACAGAAAACATACTTTATTCACAGAAATTAATGATGTAGCACTCCAATCCTCAATAGTGCTCCTGGGCACAGAGAAGAATTTACTTTTGCTCTAGCTTAAAATAACTCATTTCTAGCCTTACTAGGCCTGTCTAAATACTCCTTATTTAACCAGAAAATTACTTCTCTGGACTTACCAAATAACTTATTGGATGGTTATAGATAATGTACATCCCCTTTACTGAGAGAAGAACAACCATAATTTAAAAGCTTATTGTTATTAAAAAGTCAGCACTACGTGGTTGCAATCATCCTCATTTTGGCAAACCAGTCTTTTCTTATCTGTACTTTTGAAAAATATCACTTTTCTAAACAAAAATCTATCACTCTCTATTTCCATTTCTTGTGGGAGGGGTTTTTAAGGATTTTATCTAAGTATTAGAAAAGCAAATTTGGGTGCAAATAACTGATAATAAAATGGTTCAAAACAGGAAGGAATTCAAGAGATTTCTTACTTGCAGGAATAAGACACAGTTGATAGGAAAATGATAAATGGACTTAATGCTTTCAGCCAAGACCCATAGAAGATAGAGAAGCAACCAGAATCTTGAACAAAAAAGGTATTAAGGAGTTGGTTAAAAAAGAAAAAGTAATCTGAGCCATTCAATAATAATGTATCATCATTAGTCACATATGAGTGAGCAGCACTGAAGAATATTAATTTTCTTGTTACAGAGGGTAGTAGAACAAACAAGCAGGCTTGCTTCCCTCTGCATCACAGTTAAAGATCAGTGTCATTTACGAGATGCCTTACTTGTGTTTTACTCCTGCAACTATGTTCAGTAATATTACTGAAAATTCAGGTGCAGAAATGAGACTACCTATATGTGTATGAGAGCTCTACTTTGTTTCACTCATTTTGCAAACTGGGAGGTTGGGAAAAAAAAAAAAAAAAAGAAGAAGAAAAAAAGAAAAACCACAAAAAACCAGACAAAACCAAACCAGCAGCTTGCTGAAGGCTGTAGAGAGCAAGTGAGTAGTCAGGCGAAGATTAGAAATCAGGTGAGCAGTTATGGATCAATTAATAGCCTCTCTGTTAATTGCTTGGGGCAGCATCGTGTCAGGAGTGTAGGCTTCTCCTTCCTTTTCTGATCATTAGGCAAGGACAGATATTCAGGATAGGAATTGCACTAGCAATTGGAGGTGGGAGAGGAGATTAATTTCAATGTTATTCCCATACTGTTGTCAGAGGAACGTCATTTGCTGTTGTCAAGTGAAGGCATTTGTCCTAGCTTTGTAATAAAATGGGCAAAGGATATTAGGAATGAACCTGTTATATGCAATTTATTAGTGCAAATCAAAGCTCCTGTTTCCTAATTTCTTTTTTTCTTTCACATAAATACGCGGCCTATGCAGATTCAAACTTTCTTGCAATTCAAGTAAGTTCTACAGTGGAAGAATAAGCCTCTTAACGAGATTGAATTTGCTATTGTGCAAGTAACAAGCTGAACAAACAGAGATTGGGCAAGTTTCTGCTCATTCATGTGCCTCCTCTAAAAGAAAAACACCAAATACCAGTTTAATATAAATGGAAATGAGGACAACATTAGTGTGAGTGTAAATCTTGATCTATTGTAACTTAATAATGAAAGCCATGCTTCTCAGAGTCTGGATAAATGAATAAAGTCAGAGGATTTTTTGTTTGTTTTTGTTTTTAATAAGCATGTGAATCAACTCCTTCAGTTAAGATTTTTTTTATCCTTTTATTTGGTTAACGGGATCATGGTAAAAGCTGTTACTTATGGAAAGCAGGTGCTTGTTTCAAAAGAAAAGCACCTCACCCTCTTGTATGTTGTATAATTGTTTCTGGATGAAGATAAAAATAATGTAGAAAGATATTTGAAAAGAAAGCTTCCTAGGTGACTTCATAAAGTTTAATATTTATATAACCTTTAAGCAGTCAAGAGACTGTGCCTAATGACAGTCAACTAACAGCTTGACCTTTATTGAATGGAAGAATGGTAGCACATTTACAGAGCTTCATTTCAGTGGCAACTTAATGGTAATTTCTTTGGCTATTAATGTACAGTAAGCATGCTGAAATTCATCCTGAACCTGGAAGTGTATTAGTTCCATTAAGTAAGTCCTGAAAAACTAGAGAATCAAGGGTTTCTTTTTAAACCATCTTCACGTTTCTGGATTCTATTTTGATTACTGTCATTTTCCTAATTAAATGAGAGAGATCTCAACTTTTGAAAACCATTAGAAGGGTTGCATGTGCAAATTGTCTGTGACCGCATCCAAAAGACTTGATTTTAATCAGCATTGGATAATATGTATGCATATTAGAAGTCTAAATTCATTGTCTTATTTTGCTCCCTTTAAAGGGGAATTATTCTGTCATATCACTTTCAATTATCAAACCAAGCTTGAAAGATTAAATACTTAAAAAGTGCTTAAATAGTAATGGTTTTTCCCAAATATTTTTCTCAAAAACATCAGACTAATATTTGAATTTTCACCTGATCCTTTACTGTAGCTTTGTCTGTTGGAGTAAAAAATATAGTAGGGTAGCTATTCCCAGGGTGAGGTTAGTGTTAAGCAGCTGTAGCTAGTTCAGGGCGCTAGCATTTATGCAAATATAAAGACTTCAGCAATTTGTTCAGTCAAAATGTCATGAGTGGTTATGAGGTGTAAGGAGATGGGTTCAGAAAGCACCCGTGGGGTGTTGCCTTAGGGGCTAATGAATTAACCTTAATTTCAGGTGTAACAAACATAGATCCTCTGAAGATACACCACTGTCACAAGAGGAACACTAATGTACAGTCTGCATGCCGTGCTGTTTGTGGGCACCAGTTGGAATGGCCCACTGCGTTCTGCTAGAATGGATTGCATTCTGCATTTCTGTTCTGTTTTCTATTATGTTGGTTTTATTGAGAAAGTAAACCTTGTAACCTGATTGTTGACAGAAATAAAATGTGATTTCTCTTCTGAAAGACCTAAGTAATCTTGTTGTTTTGGCAAATAACTGAAACAGGGATTTTGTTGTGGTTTTGGTTTTCCTTTTTTTTCCTCACTAATAATGCAGAATTTATTGCAGACAAATCTAGTGAATCGAATTTAAAATATTAAATACATTAGAAGGCAAAAAGAAAATACTACATTGTTTTTGCAATTGACCTTTCATTACTTTGGCTTATTACAGGTAATGCGCAAGTCCTTGGGGAACTAATGATTACTTACATGGATAAATGCTTCCTGGAGTCAGAAGCAAAACTTTGTGCCACAGTTCCTTGGACTAAGAACTTCTTTTTGATTCACATTTACTAAACCTGTGTTCACCTTGTTATATTCAATGAAATAATGAGAGAACATCAAGTCTCACTTGCATGTACTACATGCATCATACAGCTAGTGGAGGCATGTGTTTCACATGTCTGCTGCTTAGAAAGCTTTATAAAAAGTTCAAAAATACTTCAAAGAAAAAAAAAAAAAGAAAAGCAGGCAATTCTGGAAATCCTGCTGAGATTCATCTGCATTTCTCAACACTTAGTGGTTGTTAAATAAATAGATAAAAATCTTGACCTAAGCTCTTGTTTACAAACTTCTGAGGTCAGGAAACTTTCATGTCTGTTGTCTGTACAATGTCAGGTGTACATCGACTGCTCCAGAAATAACAGTAATGGGGATGAATGATGAACTAGAATTTTTGAAAGCTGATGTGACTTCAGCATGCACAAAAGCATTGAAAATTTGAGAATTTTTTTTGTTCTTGCAAAGTAGGATACAAATTGTCAGAACCAAATCACGTGCTTGCTTTCTGTTCCCCCCAACCTGTAAATGCCTACCCAGCTTAAATGTATAAACTGACAGAAGTTCAGCACTGAAAAATTTTCTAAGAGTCGCTTGCTATTTTTCAACTTGGGATCTTTTGATTTTTAGGGTTTTTTTAACTCACGACTATATTGATAATGACTATATTGATACTTAAAGTATTTTCAATAGGACTGAAGATGCATCATCAAGGGCAACTGTAGTTTAAGATTACAAATCCAGATTTTCTTTTGAGAAAATGCAGCTGGAATTTTTTAAACTCTCTCCATTGCTTTTATGTGCTTAGAAAAATGGGACCAATTTTCTCCAGTATAGTCTTCTGCTATTTATAGAACCTGACCTGTTTCCTACCACGTTCTTTATTGTCATGATGGAGTCTGACTACTACAATCAAGAAGTTAGCTTTATCTTCCTCTTCAATATGCTTATTAAAATGAACTAGAGGTTAGTTCATTTTAAGGGCCTGAAGAAAGATTATTAAGGAGCTGATTAAGTCAATTAGGCTGCATAGGGAATCCTTTTTGCTGTGTTGTTGTTAACCAAGAACCTTAATAGGACAATTAGGATTAATTAAAATCAGCCTGATTGATTAGGATATATAAGCCTGCACGTGAGGCACAGTTGTGTGGTTGGTTGGTCTTTCTGTAAATGCAGGGGTGCAGGCAGTGGATGCTGAGGGTCGCATTTCTGGAAAAATATTTGTATGCAACTGCAAAAGCAAATTGCTTTGGATGGACTGGTGGTGGACGTCCTCTGTGGTGGACGTCCACATCACTGAAGCTGACTGTTTCCTGCACGTTCTTATTAGGATTGATGGGATGTGAGACTGAACAATAAAACAGCAACTAAATTTCACTGCAGATATATGTGAAATGATAGGGGTGGGATTCCAACTTTGTATGTGAAATGTTGTGCTTTAACCTATGATCACTTGGAACTGAGGAACTATCATGGAATCACAAAGTTGGAAAGGACCTGCGAGATCATCTAGTCCAACTGTCCTCCCACTACCATTGCTACCATAAACTATGGTCAGTGTACGTGGTCACTCATTGCTTTTAGAAAAAACTTAATGGTGGGGTTCATTAGAAATCAAATGAGAGCTTTCCTGCAGTTTAACAGACTTTTGAAAAACGCACGTGACTCAGAATTTCTGGTCTGAAAACATTTTGGACTGAGATGCACTGAGGGGAAGTATCATGTGTGGTATGTACTGTTATTCTGACCTGGCTGCTTGTGCAGACCTGACACTGATCTGGATGCATCTTAATCTTCTGCAGCTGGCATAGTGTTTGCATGCTGAGAAGTCTGGGATTTATAACCGCCACCTCATGATGCAGTAAGGCTCTCGAGCTAAGAGTTCTGAAGCTTTTGTGAAAGCTTCTCTCTTTCATGAAGACTCAAGATGGGTGGCTGACTTGTCATCAGAAATCCACTTCTGCATGCTTAATGGCCATCAGTCTGTTCTTGTGTCTTCTGGGCTTTTTAAAGTGGCTGATATCCAAGAAAATCTGAATGCTTCTGTAATGGCTGTTTTAAACCGTGCCAGTACCATAGCTAATAGATATAACCATATGTTCACGTAACCCTGGAATCTTAACCTTCTTCAGCTGGATACAATTGTCGGTATTTGGATTCACGATGGAAGTAGAAGTGATCGGGAATGATCTCAGGAATTTAAATTCTCTGCTAAAGATAGTAGGGGGTTGAGTTTCTTGGTCTTTCAAGGACAAAGCAAGATCTCTTTTAATTGAATTCATGTCTTTTCTCTTGTCTGACTTTCATATACTGATTAATTTTGGTAATGTCTGGAAATTTCACATCCAGCGTCTTGCTCTTTCATCTTTAAAATCCCTTTTTTATAGAGGACACTGACTTACTGTGGCGAAAGTTATCCAAGTTATATGCCTTAAAGCTGTCTCTGTTACAGCGCTACTGATCATAAACAGCTCCAGAGGTTTTTTTTGTTTTTTTTGTTCCTTTATCCAAGATTTTCTTACGCACTTTTCCACATAGATAACATCTAGAAGTGTCACTACAAACCAGCAAGGCTTTCATAGGCAGCAGCATTTTTTGCTCTAACCAGCTGGGTGCTAGGCAAGTATCATCAGCATGTCTTTATTGAAGTGCTTCTAAAAAAGTTATTATTTATTAATGATGGAGAAAATGAACTAATCTTCCACATTACAAGCATCTCTCCGCTTTGCAGCAGTGGTGAATTGATGAGTGCCTAGGTATGTGTGCTGTCTCAGGATTTATTATTCTTCTTATTGGAAGAATCTGTTTCGAAGACCTCTTCTTCTATCTTATTGAAGAATATTTCCAAATATTACACTTCAGTTGTCAGTCAAGTCAAGCTTTTCACGTTGTTGTTTTAAAATGTTTACATTCATTGTTTCTAACTCAACTTGTTAAGAAGTACTGGACAAGTCCCTCTTCTCAAGAAATGGCATTTAGCAAAATCTAGTCTTTACCTAAATAGTTAATGCGTGTCACAGGGTAGTGTGCTGAAGTGATCAACGTGGTCCTGGGGTGTCTATTAATCTGTGGAGTTTCTGCTCTTATGTGTGCTGGCAGATGAAGAGAAAGATAAGCAGGAGACAATGGTGTCACTGAAAACAAACAAAAAAAACCAACCTCATATTTTTTAGTTCAGGAAGAAAGTCTTTAAGTACAACGGGGCTAGTACTGCACCACATGTGGAATCTTTAAGACTCAGTAAGACTATCTGAGCTCTATAATCTAAGGAGGTAAAAGTAATCAGCCACAAGATTATTTTTAAATTATATTGGAGTGAATCTTAGTAAAATCCTCACAACTGCATAATATTACAAAGTTGCCAGATGTCATCTATTGTTGTGGGGTTGTTTTCTTCGTGTTTCTAGAATCTCATTCTAAGAATTTCCTGTTTGCTGTTGTGAAATGCCTGAGAAATCATAAATCTTATTCAGGAATTGTAATTGCAGTAGTCTGTGGTGATAAGCAACCTTTTAAAGGTTTCTACACTTTAAGTACTTCCAGGTGATATAATCTTAAAACTGCCTAAGAAACCATAGGTATATAGTATCCTGCTCACAGATTTCATTGCTGTTGCTCAAAAAGATTATATGAAGCTTCAGCACTTACATCCCATAGCATTCTGCTTTTTTCACAAGCCATATTACTGTTTCAGAACTTTATTTAATGTTAAGTATAGCCACCCAGCTTTCTGAATAAATAATATCTGCCCTAAAGCATGAAATATTAACAAATCTATATTTACGTGACCTAATATGAATTACTAACTTTAATAATTACCTACTCTCACCGATAGGTGGTGGTGCTACTGTTTCTTTATCTGTTGCTTCTTCAAACTTCAGTGGAACTAACCATAAAAATATCCACGTGTTTATAGGATGAAAACATTGAGCACAGGTGTTCCAGGATACCTAGAGCCAGGCTGACTCTCTGCCTAAGCTCAGGAGGATGTAGGGGAACATGGACAGCTATGAAAAGCCACAGAATGTCTGCTCTGTTCTGGTACTCCTCCTTTGAATTAATTAGGGTTAATACCTATAAGCTGCACCATTGACGTGTTGGTCCCTGGCAGCTTGCTTTTCTGTCTGTTTTTCTGCCAGAGGGGATGCAGGCCCTATGAAAGGCTGAACAGTGGCACGGGGCTGCAGGAAGATGAGGAAAACAATATTCATATTAGCCCTCCAATCATTTCTCTCTGATAGTATTTGCAATGTTTTATGTTAAGGAAATAATCCTCTGAAGTTGTTGCGATGTGGCCTTCCTGTTGTCTCCCCATTTCCTGCTGATTTGAGGCTAGTAGAATTTGTGTGTGAATACTTGAAATCTAAGAACAAATCAATTGTTTATGGGGGTTTACGAGACTGGAATTGAGGAGGCTCTTAATGAAGGGGCAAAAAAGTCAACAGTAGGCAAGATAAAATGGAAAACAAATTGAAGACGTTAAACACACACACACACAAGGCATTGTTTCTCACTTGAATACTTCTTTCGAGTAAACATAGCGTACAGTTTGATTTGAAAAAGTGTTTATTTGATCAGAGCATGTTCTGAAGTCAATGAGACTATAACCAGATGATGATCTGGTAGTTTTCAGTCAGATTAGCTATAGGCCCTGCATTATAATGAGCAGTTAGTCATGA